GTTCCCACGCAGCCTCTCTCGCCCGCAGTTCCCCGGGTTTGACGATCTCTACTGCAAGTTCTGCTTCGTCTACGGCCAGGACTGGGTCCCCACGGCGGTGAGGCCGCACTGTGTGTCCCCCTGAAACCCCCCTGCCCGCCAGGCCGCCGGCTGACCCCTCGCTCTCCCCGCAGGGCCTGGAGGAGGGCATCTCCCAGATCACCTCCAAAAGCGACGTCGCACCCACCACCCTCGTCTGGAACTTCCCCATCGACATCACCTTCAAGAGCACCAACCCGTCGGGCTGTGAGTGCTGGGGCGCGGGATCCAGCCCGCAGCGCAGGCGCCCCGCTCACACCTGCCTCTCTTGCAGGGCCGCAGATCGTTGTGAGCGTCTACGGACCTGACTTCTTTGGAAACGATGTGGTCAGGGGTTACGGAGCTGTTCATGTGCCCTTCACCCCGGGAAGGTGAGGTGACAGCCTGGCTTGCAGGACTGAAACAGATTTTTTTTTTTTTCTAGTTAATATGTTGTTTCAGAAACAAAAATATTCCCGTGTCTCCTTATTGTGTCTTGGCTGTTTAGTACCAAGAGCGTGGATTATCCCCTGGTTATCAGGTAATTTTTGGTGATCCTGTAGACAGCTGTAAAGTCAAACCTGGCACGTGGAAAGCCCCAGTATGCAGTGCAGTATGTTACCCCTTCCCCATCGCTCCCAGCACATGCTGAGCTTTCATTCCCCCCCTGGAAATGGAGAAAGATAAACTCTTCCTACGCAAACAAACCCTTTCTTTGGGGAAGGGAAAGTATTGCACTTTGAGATGTTCAGAGGCCTGACCTGTCTGAAATTCTGGTTCCTCTATAAACATAAGAAGTGTTGCCAGTGCTGTTTGCTTCATTTCTTAAGTTCTGTGCTTCTCATGTTTGTTTTAGGCATACAAGAACCATAGCGATGTTTGTTCCAGAGTCCACATCTAGGCTGCAGAAATTTACAAGGTAATACTTAAAGACTTCTTTTTTTTTTTAAAGTCCTTTTTGCTCTTAGTCACAGAGGTATATCCAGCTACCCACTGCTTACATGCAACTACCTTGTATCAAAACCAGCTAGTTTGGTAGGTAAAATCACGCTTTTAGGAATCTACGTCTTTTGAAGAGCTTTATGTTAACTCCCTGCTTGCACTAATGTTAAGTCTTCTTTTTTTTCCTCCTCATATTTGACCACTGTTGGTTTCAAAAAGAACTGATTTCAGCAGAACAGACTGATACATCAGTTCTCATAGCGAGGGGCAGCTCCATGTTCCATTCATATCGGTGATGCGATGTGCAGAGGCACTACTCAGACTGACTTTACTGAGCGTTTTAGTTGTCACTTGACTCTGAAGAGGTGTGATGCAGTCCTTCCCTAAATCTTTCTGTAGCTAGGGGCTTTTCTTGAAGGACAGCCACATTAAGAAAAACCTGGATTTAACATCATGCGTATGGCATTAGTTTCATTTTCCTTAGACAAAACTTTTATAATTGATCAAAGCAGATCAGCAATAAAATGAATCAGTCTTCAAACCTCTCTACTGCTGGGAGTGTCATTAAACCCCCCTTTGTTTTTAACATCCATGTAATGAACGGTACCAGATCTAAACACCAGTGAATGTATCCCATGAATTATTTTCTATTTTCTTCTCCAAGCTGGTTCACAGGGAGACGTCCTGAATTTACTGACCCCAGAGTGGTGGCACAGGGAGAAGGAAGAGAAGGTAAGTCCCTGGGGGCTCCTGACTGTGACTCTCGCACGACAGCAGGTCACAGCTTGGCCACCCATCTTCTGTTGAAGAGTTCCTGCTGAGAACAGTCCTACCTGGATATGTGGGGAGTTCAACAGCTATTCAAAAACTTCCGGTTTTATTCACGTCTTCTTTCTTCTAGTAACAAGAGTGCGATCTCAAGGCTTTGTGACCATTTCCTTCAACATAGTGACCAAAGACATGAAGAAGCTGGGCTATGATGTGAGCCCAAGGGACGTGCAGGACCCTTCTCTGGTGCCTGGCACAGAAGGGATTCATAAGTACTGAACTCAGGCGTGACACGTTCAAAGGCTCACAGAGATTTTACGCACGTCGGCGGCTTTTTTTGGCAAATGGGAATGAGTATCTGACTGAACTGAGAAAATTTCACTTGAGACAGTTATTCCAAAAGAAACACAAGCCCATGAGGCTTTGGAATAATCACCTGAGTATAATTCTTTCAGTAAGCATACCGGTTGAAGTATTATGTAAGTTAATGTCATTAGTTAATATTCAGCATTTTTATGTGTGATTTCAAAATAAGACCTGTAGCAAAATGTTTTTTATAAACAGCCTTTTGTACACTCTTTATGTACTTAAAGAATAGGAAAGTTTATAGTTGTAGCAGTTTTCCTGTGTTTAAAACATCACTGCAAACCCAGTTCTTTTTACTGATGTTTTTTGTGGTAGAAATGAGAAATTGAAATTATTGCACCTTCCAGAAAGGAGGGAGTACAGAAACGTTCCAGGGAAATGCACAGGCGCTTCTCTGTGCTGTGCACGCTCCTCTGCAACAGCAGTTTCCCCTTGTATCCCACATAGTCCTCTAGAGTTTGTGCAAAATAGTGTATATACTGTAGAAACCAACCTTTCCACAGTTTTTCAGTGAAACAACCTGGGCTTTTGCATTTAGAACAAGATGATGACTCTTCCATTTTAAGATTTTATTTCTGCATCACACTTCAGGAGGAAAAAAAAAAAAAAAAAAAGGACAGTTTATTTTAGAGTAGTTAGAGAGAGCATGGTGTTAAACACATTGTTGCTGCACGATTTTAAGTGCATTTTAAGTGTATTATTGACTAAAAAATAAACTTTAGAGAAAGCACCGCACAGAGAGTCTGAGTAAAGCAGCTGTGTGTGCAGTCCCGAGCAGGTACCCGAGGCACTGGGCTGCCCAGGACAGCGGGGGACAGCAGAAGGGACCTCCTCCTCCCTGCAGGAGAGCCCTCCAGCCCGTGCAGTGCACAGATAATGCGCCATGGCTTTCCTTGAGGTGGTTTTCTTATCAAAAGACGTGCAGTAAAAAAGCACCACCGTGATGTTCTGCTGGGGTTTTTGTGTCTTTGTGCCAAATGGATGTTTCTAAGCCCTAAATCATCCAAGATGTGCCAGTCCTACAGAGGGTACAAAGAGAGAAGCGTATGTGACAATGAAGTGACTCATTGCTTCATCATTTTCACGTTTAGATCTGGGCAGGTAATTTCTTGTGTTTGCAAATACCAGGAGAGGACTGTGAGAATGCCTTAACATGATACCACCCCGTAAGAGAACTACCAAGACCTTGAAACTGTGGAGATAGGAGTAATAACATGGTGATGAACTGCCTCCAGGACACGTGTCACAAAGCATCCAGCTGGAGACGGTCATTATCTCACGCTGAGCTGTGTGACTGAATAAATATATATATAATTTCAGAAAAGATAATGTGATTGCTCTAATGTTGCTGTAAGCGTTAGCTTCTTCTATAGTATTTATAAATACTCTTCCAAACATGGTTACAGATGATTTTTCATCTCTTACTTTTTTCCTATCTCCTTGTTGTTGGGTTTTCACTCCCAGTAAGCTCCTCCGCCAGTTGTTTTGGCAGCTGTTGTAATCTCTGAACTGACTCATGGTGGAATCCGAATCAGTAAGTATTTCCTGTTGGCTCAGAGGAGACACAAGGAATTTTGTTTCCTTTTCGAAAGTATTTGGGAAGCAGTTAGATACAGTAGCAGGATAAATATCTGTGTTTGAAATACTTGAAAGGCAAACATTAACTCTACTACCGCTTAACTATCTTTTTTCCCTGGAGCACAGTTACCTGCCCCTATTCCAATTAGAGCAAAACTGCACAACAGAGATTCTAGTCATGAGAAACCCGTTAAACCCAGATAAAACCCAAACTTCGTGCCCACAGGGGCGCAGTGAATTTATTCACGCACAGCTCTGCAGTGGGGGACTACAGCCGATCTCCTGAACTGCTCCTGTTTCAAACGAGTAGTTGGATGCTTACCACCCTGAGACCCATCAAAACCAACTCCTGCGTTTGCACAGCTTCACCGTTCACAGCCGAGCTCTGGGGACCCTCAGGAGAAGGGTTAAAAGAGAAGAGTGAAAAGCAAAGGCTTAAAAAAATAATAAACCCCCCAAACTCCATTAAAAAGTATTGAAGAGCTATGACTCTAGAAGCAGATCCCATACTGCTGCCTGCAGTGTTGAGGCTTTTTGCCTATCGTCTCCATTTTTGTTTGGTTTTGGGTTTTTTTTTGTCTCGAGCATGTTTGTGAAGAACCTCACATACCTCTCCAAGGCCTCAATGTGTTCAGCGTGTGAGCACTTCACTGCGGGAGCTTTTCTATAGTTTGCTCCTTACCCAAGGGCACATGGGGGTGATGTTTTCAGTGCTTCCCGAGTTCAAGGCTGTTCCTTTGTTCCAAGAGGCAACTGTTGGTCTCCCTCATAAACACGCTCTTCTCCCAGAAACAGCCTCGCTGCTGCCTTTGTAATTTCCTGGAAAACTGTCTCTGGTTTATGGGTTAAGTCTTTGGTACTCAGGCGTGGCAGAGCGTTCGCAGCTGTTTCACCCCGGAGAGAATCTCCGCTCTCATAACAGAGGAGTAAAGACAGGAGACGACGCTGCGCTGCCGAGAGCGGGTGACATTAATGAGGAAGGGATTTATGACCCCGAAGTGTTCGTTGCAGTTAAAGGTTAAAAGCACCCATGCTTTAAGAACAGCCAAACCCCAGAAAATCCCAGCCTTGCTCTAGTAAAGGCTCAAAGTAATTTCCTCTCTCCCACTCTCCAGGCAGCTGTAACCACCCTACTTGTTTACTAGTTATTCTCCCTTTTATCCCACACCAGACTGAAATTCCCACCAAAAAAAACCCGCACCACGGACAGCAGCGGGGTCTGTCAGCTGGCGCTGCAGCTCCTGGTTTGTTACGCCTCAGTCTCTCCCAGACAGTGAAATTGCCCATTAACCTCCTCATTCGAGATGGGCAGGAAAAAACTCTTGATTCAGAACATGTGTCCTGACACAGGATGAGGCTTCAAGCCCATCAGAGCAGGGTGAGACCCTCTAAGGAAGCCTGGGAGACAGCTGAGGGCGTTGCAGAAGCCCTCCTCTGCTCTCCCGGTCTGGAGGAGCTTCAG